CTATGATGCAGCTTACTTGGCATATGAAAATACATTTCTTCAACGGTATTTTGAATCTGAAAAGGGCTTCACTGAGTGAGAAGTAGTGTTAGGAGTTCAGCAGGGAGTTTCAGTTTCACTTTCAGTTTCACTCGTTGTTTGCTTTGTTACTGCCGAGAGCCTGCAGGGGTCATGGACGGGGTGTGTGGGGTGGGGGGTGGGGAGATGTGCTCCGTGGTGAGGAAGCTCAGCTTGGAGACCAAGCCCAGAGGCGGAGATGGTCCCAAAAGGCGGTTCTAGTCCCAACCTGTCATTTTTGCTCCCCTGCCTGCTGCCTCAGGACWCCACAGGATTTCTCAAACATGCATGAATGAGTCAAAGCAAGACTCTGGGTACATTTTTGATGAGATGATAGCATTAAAACATGATTTAAACTCAAAAAAGTTGGTTTTATATGATATAGCCTCTTAAACATGACTTTAGCTTATGAAGAACAATCTAATAGATACAGAGCTGTTTTTTATGAATTTAGAATAAGGAAGAATGAGCTTTGCAAAGAAAATCATCAATACCTTTTTAAAAAGCTTTTTCATGAAGTCAATTTAGGAAAAACTAACAAAAAACTGTGATCAATTTATGATTAAATTAGTCTTCAGCAGACACTGTGTGAGAGCCGGGGTACATCCGAGACAAGGTCGCAAGACAAACAACCATTCATGCTTCACACCTAGGGACAGTTTAGATTTACCAATTAACCTTTCTGTTTTTGGCCTGTGGGAGGAAACTGGTGTACCTGGAGAAAAGCCACGCTTGCACAGGGAGAGCATGCATACGCCACACAGGAAGTCCAGGAGGCGAACCTGCGACCTTCCCTGTGCCACCTTCACTTTGTCCACGCCTCCACAAATCATTAAACAGTCCACGTCCTTGACGTAAGAAGGCTGGGTGAAAGAGTGTCCCTCCTTTGAGCCACACAGCGCAACTTAGTAAATGCTGACACAAACAGAACGATGATTCACTTTTCTGTGAGGCAGGGCATCTGGGGGAGCAGCTAGCGATGAATGCGAAATTGATATTCATAGCCCAGCTTCACTCCAGCCACAGGGTGCACTGATCAGAGTGTTCATACAAAGTTTCATTTGCAGAGCCAAGCAGGCATGCAGGCCACACAAAMATGAACACACACACGCATTTACATACACTGCTCATGTCAGTTCAGAATGTGATGGCTTTATTTTGGGTGTGCATCTGTCATTTCAGATCTATGTCTTGCYGTGAATGTTTATCATTATGTGGGATAAATCACATTTGCCGTTATCTAAATTTCATTGTTTTTTTTCCTATCAGCTRTATAATTGATTTAAATTTTATTTCTATATGAGTTTAGAGGTAAAATAAAACAGTTGTAAGTCAATTATTGCACCGAGACAACCAAAAATTAGAAATTTTGCGCAATACTATATTTTCTAAGATTTACACATTTGCATGAACTCTGCCATTGCGCTGAAAATGAAAAGCTGCTTTGCTTTGTTCCCTTTCAGTCAATTCACTCGGTACAACAT